TGGGGGGGGGCAGAAGTTTTTTTTTTAGAGGGGGGGGGGATGCACCCCGTGTACCCCTAGATATTCCACTGCCAATTTATATTTATTTGTATGATAATTATATTGCCCAGACCTGAAGTCATCTTCATTTCGATCAAATTCTTTGGATGGCTTAGTAGCTCATGAAATTTTTTCAGAATTCTTTGGATGGCTTAGTAGCTCATGAAATTTTTTCAGAGCTTTGTAGAATGCTTTCACTTTATCAGCTGGCAGCGGTAATTCCGGGTCACGGGTATGGTTGCTGAAACGAACAGTCACAATCTGGTTGTCATCATCTACGCTGTAAAAAATTTTGAGACATAAATAATTTTTGGATGTAGTTTGAAGCCCTATCAACAGAGTCAAATTTTAATTGACAAATTAATTGACAAAAACATGCGACATGCCTAAATATGAAGTGATTTTATCATGACCAAGGGCACACATGATACATGATAGTTCAAATCTTACCTGAAGAGTCATCTATTGAATATTTAAATACTCAACAACTTTTACCTTTTATCTGTTTTGTAAAGCGCTGTGATATCTTTGATAAAAGTGCTCTATAAATAACTGCATTATTATTATTATTATTATTATTTTTTTTTTTTTTTTTGTCAAAGGAAATTTTATAGTGTGGACAAAGCTCAACAAAGCTTCCACTTTTTGCGTCTGATCAGTCACATGATCTGCATGCGGTACAACGCTTTGTTATTGTTTTGAACGCTTGTGTTAATACCGAAAGGTCCACTGATTAATCTCAGATAAGAAAGTATAATACATACTCCAAGTATTGAAATACACGCCATCGTGTTGGGATTCAATATTTCGACATTAATTATGTCATCATCAGTAATGAAAAAATTATCCATAATAGCAAGCTTATATGCACTAGTACCAAAAGTGTTTAACCAATCAAAACATTACCTCTAGTAGGTGACATAGCAGTGATTTAAACAAAAGATCAAAAGCATATTAATAATCAAAATATTAAACCTAATTTATTACTTACATTACAGACGACATTATCATTTTCAAGTATACCCTGTAATCCTAAAACATATTGGAATGCCTCACAGTTTTTAACATGATCAAATATAACACTATCAGATCGTGAAGAATGTTCTTTAAGTCTAGTTACTAAGCACCTATCTGTCTTACCAATATAATCACTATTGCAGCCTGGACATTTAAAATGATAGACAACAGAACTTCTGTACTCCTTAGGGGTTTGATCCTTAGTAGATATAAAATGAGAAATATTTTTATACTGCCATAAAGTTATGAATTTTACCTCTTTAATTAAGTGTTTCTTTACCTTATTTAAACATCTACGTAAAATGAACTCACCTGGTTTTCTTAGATAAGGCAATCTAACCCAAATCTTAATCAAGCTATTATCAGTAGGCCTATGTATACATTTAGGTTCATAATCATAACATAATCATTTAATAATGTAACATAGTGTGTGTATTTAGCCCACAAAACTACAAACCTAATAACTGGACAGAAACTTCGATAGAAAGATGGATTTTCAGAAACTAGGTACGTTGACATAACATTCGTAGTGGTCAGAATGTGAAAGGCTTCTGGGTCTTGTTCTCGTAATTGGCTAGCTGCATTAAAGCCATCGACAAACTCATTGCTTCCACCACCACCTGCTTGCCTCACCATGTGCAACATAACGATCTGTAAAAAAATAGTGGAACTAATACATTAATAATTCCTTGTTTTAAACCTCCCTTACTTGGGTCAGCTTCACTGCCTTGGTGGTGCACAGAAGCGGAACCAAAAGTGGGAATTAGTAAATTAGTCAAGCATACTGCCATGTAGAGTATCTTTGTATATACAGTACCGTAAAACCTCGAACTGAAGCCCAATGGGCTTAATCTCGAGATGAAGCCCATCTCAAATTGAAGCCAACACGTTTGCGTGTATTTCGATACTTAAGAGTTTGCATTTTACTTATTTGTATTATGTTAATGAAATTAACAAGTAATTTGATTTCAACTTTTTTTTTCTTTTTGACTTTTAATTGTACTGTATATATTTCTCCGTTTGCTTTAATAATTTTTACTTTTGTTTTACTTTGTATAATTTATATTTAAGTCAAAACAGTCCTGTGAAAAAAAAAGTTTCTCCGTATGTAAATAAAGTTGTTGTTGTTGTTGTTGTTATAATATATTTAGTTATATGTATTTATATATGTATATATATGCATTTATATCTGTAAATATGTGTACATATATATATATGTGTGTATATACACATATATATGAATATATATGTATGTATGTATATATGCATATATATGTATGTATATATATATATGTATATATACGCATATATATATATATGTATATATATATATATATATATGTGTGTGTATATATATATATATATATATATATATATATATATATATATATATAT